GCAGTGAATTATCGAACCCAGGAGAGAGGTGGTGGGTGCTTTGGGAGGAACGATTGGTGAAAGGGCTGGAGGGAGGCAGCATGTTTGGTCTTGCAGTAATAGGCCTTGGGTTACTGCTGGTAATCCTGCCTTCCCCTTGTAGGGTTAGAGGAGGTCAGAACATGTGGCCTCCTTGTCGTTCAAGCAGCCTTATACCAAAAATATCTCCTGAAGTCTTCTCAAACCAAACAACAGCTTAGATTAACTAGTAAAAAATATGTCTGCATTCAGCATTATGCTCTTTTAATTGACAATAGCAATTTGCAAGGATGGGAGAGGAGTAGAAACTCAGAGGAGGAGGGTGAGAACAGTTGCACAACTTGAAGAATGTAATCAATGTCACTGAATTGTACATGTAGAAACTGTTGAATGGTGAATGTTTTGCTATGTATATTTGCAACAACAACAAAATAAATAAAAATTAAACAAACAAGTTAAGGCTGTGGCTTCGGCTTTATACTCGTTTCTTAGGGACTTGAAACATAACATTAGGCAAAAGTAAAACCAAAAATACCAACCAAGAAAATAATTCCAATAATTCCCTCCCTAGTCTTCTAAAGGGAGCTCTGGTGGTGTAGTGCCTAAGGCATTTGACTGCTAACCAGAAGGCTGGCAGTTCAAACCTACCAGCCTCTCCTCAGAAGGGAGACTAGGCAATCTACTTCCGTAGTGATACCGCCTCGGAGCCCAAAGGGGTCACTATGAGTTGGGTCCGACTCAACGGCAGTGAGTTTGGTTTTTTTAAGTCTTCTAAAAACAATAAAATTATAATTGCTTTGTTTACTTTAGAGATGTTTTTAGCCACTCAACCTATGTATTAATAAGTTTTATAAAATACTCTTTGGGAAAACAAATAAGGATTTGTTCAAGGGATAAAAAAAAAGGCTGATACATAAACTAAATAAATTAAATTCGAAAGAAGGTCACAGAACCATCTGTGCGAACAAGAGCTCAGTCTGATTTTTCTCACCTCGAAACAGTCATGCCTCAGTACTCCTCTTGGTTATACACTAATCATTAAAATAAGGCACTTGACTGCTAACCAGAAGGCTGGCGGTTCAAACCCACCAACCACTCCTCGGAAGGAAGGCTGGGCAATCTACTTCCGTAGTGATATCACCTCAGAAACCCAAGGAGGGGTTACTATGAGTCGTGGCTGACTTGTTGGCATGTAACAACAATAACACACGATCACATTAGTTAGAAAGAAACACAATATCTGAGATCACTCCCACTCCATTAACGCAATGGAATACAAAATTAGGGGTAGTGAATTATTTTTGATAATTGTTCTGAAATATGTCAATTTTCGTATGTAAAACTAAATGGAAAGACTTAAAGTTCTAGGAGACTTCACACACACACACACACACACACACACACACTCCTACACTCTCTCTCTCTCCCCCCTCTCCTTTCTGGCTCCTTCTATTCCCCCTCTCCCTCCCTCCATTTCTTCTTTCTATACCACCCCTTTATTCCCATCTTTTTCTCTTCCTGTCTTCCTTTCTCCCCTCCTCCCTCCTCTAAAACCTGTGTCCACTCTCCTCTCTCTATAAGTTCTCCCCCTTCTTCCCTATTTTCTCTAGTACTAAGATAAGGGTTAGCCAGCCCTCTAATCTACCTCTCTTCTGGATTGTAACACATGTACACAGCTGCCCAATGCAGTCTTTATTTTCCTTTTCATAGTAGATCAATTCCTGTAATCCCATTTTTGATTAACTGTATCACCCAGTGTCCCCAGATTGACACTTTAAAGTCATCACTGACAGCTCACTCCCACTCCACCACCAATTACTTCCTGAATGGTTCTCAATATTCTGGCACCTCCTCACCATGCCCACTGCCTCAGTTTATACCTTCATCATCTTCCACTTGTTCAGCAGATATCTCTGCTTGCAATCTAAACTTGCCTTCCATCTGTCCTCCATGCTACCCCCAGCATATTTTTCAAACACATATACAATCATGCCATTCCCTTTAAATATCATTGCTTGTTCTCAACACCTAATGAGTCAACTGTAAATTCCTTGGCTTAGCATCAAAAGCCCACCATGATTTGGCTCCTACCTCATTTTCTGGTGTCATTCATAGTCATTAGGCCATCAGCACCCTTTTACCAGTCACAATTTGAAATTCCCATAATACACTAAGCTCTTTCACACCTAACACCTGGGCTCTAACCTCTACTTAAATATCTTTTTCCTCTTCTTTGCCTCATCACTTCTACTTACTGTTTAAGATCTAACTCAAATATCATCCCTGGGAAGTACTCCCTTAATTCCGATGGCGGTTCACTGCTTCTTCCTCTGTGCTCTCAAAGTCTTTCACACGGATTGTTATTATTGTCTTATACCCAAGTAAACATACATTGATACAAAACCTACAAGTGATGGTAAAAGAATATGGAAAAACAGAGAAGTCATAGGGATTCTTCCACCCATCTGTCAGTCTGTCACATCGTGGTGGCTTATGTGTCTCTGGGATGCTGGAAGCTATGCCACTGATATTTCAAATACAAGCAGGGTCACTCATGCTAGACAGGTTTCTTCAGAGCTTCCAGACTTAGACAGACTAGGAAAAAAGGCTTGGTGATCTACGTTTGGAAATCAGCTAATGAAAACCCTATGGATCAGAACAGAATTATTGTTCAATATAGTGTTGAAAGATGAGTCCCCTAGGTTGAAAGACACTCAAGATACACAGTGGATAAAATGACAGACTCCAGGATACCAATGATTGTGAAAGTTGCACAGGACTGGGTAATGTTTCATTCTGTTATACTTGGGGCTGCTGTGAGTCAGAGCCAACTTGATGGCAACTAACAACAACATAGCTATTCGAAACCTTTCTCCAACAACATATGGATTAATTCAAATCAGAATGCTTAATTCATTGTGTGTTTTACTTACTTTTGTGGAGTCAAAGGAGGCAAACCCCATTAACTTCATCATTTCTATTTCTTCCTCTGTTTTGCCCTCTAAGTCCTCCTCTGCAAAAGAGTAAATGATAATTTTTTAAAACACTATCATTTTATATATTTAAGAGAAGTGGGAAAAGATTAATAGTTATTCCACATCACCAGCAGAAAACAAACAAAGCAATTAGCTAAAGACTTGAGTCTAATGAGAAAATTCCTCTTCAACTTAGATAAACATTGTAATTTAGGATGCAATGAAAGAATGTATTCTCCATCCTCCTCCTGGCAGGACATGCTTGAAAGGACATACTGGAGCCTTTACACAGAACCACTTTAATATCAGATGTGACAGTACCTAGTTATAAAGTTACTTCCAAAATAGAATATTCTCTTCCATGTTTTTAACTACCCTTCTTATATCAGGAACACCATTTCTACTAAGATTTCCACTAAGGTACAAATCTCAAAAGCATATGCATTGTGTATTATAAAAAGCTTAATATTTAAATTATATTTTATAATTTTATCATCTGATTGAGGCTATCTAAACAAGACTGTACTTTTCCAATAGTTATGTGTCTAATAACATTACCAGTAATCTGACGTTCTTTGCTCTTTGTTTCTTTTGTTTCTTTCTTTTCCTCATCTCTTCTTTCTTTCAGTCGAGAAGGGGAAGGGGATGTAGATCTATGTCGTCTTGGTGATCTAATATTTAATAATCACAGATGTTAGAAACAGAAACATATATGTCAATTTTGTGCAGATCAGCACAGCAGTGGCTGAAAAGTAAAGGCTGAACAAAAGCCAGGCTCCAGAGAGCCAAGAGTCCATTCCCTATGTTCTTGTTGTTATGTGCCGTTGAGTTAGACTCAATTCATAGCGACCCCTCCTTGGGTTTCCGAGGCAGTATCACTACAGAAGGAGATTGCCCAACCTTCCTTCCAAGGAGTGGCTGGTAGGTTTGAACTGCCAGCCTCTGGTTAGCATTCAAGTGCCTTAGGCACTACACTACCAGAGTTCCTATAGCAAAGGGAAAAGGCAGGTTTCTGCCTAGGCCCTAATGATTAGCAAAAAATAGAAAATACCATTTACTGTTTATCATCAGCTTCATTTGGTATAGCTAGAACTGAAAAAGTTTTTGTGAGGGAGACAAATGTAACTAGAAAGTTTTTAACAATTACATATAACACACAAAAAAGTGACTGAATCATCATCATCAAAAATTAAAAAAAACCACTTACTATTTCTTATTCTTGCCTAGCTTTAGACAATTCTTATCAAAGGGAATGTGAAGTTTAGAATAAGGAGATTAAATTTCTCCCATTTCATAAAATTCAGTGCCCTCATGAGTGATAAAAACAAACTGAAGGGCAGTGATTAGAATCACTGGGACCTGTAGTAAAGCTTATGGCTTATTTTCTGCATTTACCTGGAGCGTCTTCTGTGTGGTGATCGAGAGCGGCTCCTCCTTCGATCTCTCTCCCGAGACCTGGACCTTTCTCGGCGTCTGCGTTCTCTCTCCCGGGATGTGGACCGGGACCGCCTTCGCTCTAATACAAACGCATACAGTTGGCAAAGATGAATATTACTTCAAATATCTAGAGCTGCACTAGCCAACAGAAATATAATGTGAATAATTTTTAGTAATCACATTCAAAAACCAAAAACCCACTGCCATCAAGTCAATTCCAACTCATAGAGACCCTTTAAGACAGAGCAGGATTCCCCCATAGGGTTTGTAAGGCTGTAAATCTTTATGGACGCAAACTGCCTCATCTTTCTTTCATGAAGCAGCTGGTGGGTTGAAACCACTGAACTTTCTGGTTAGCAGCCGATGCTTTAACCATCGCACCACCAGAGCCCCTTAGTAATCACATTAAACCAAACCAAACCAAACTCTGCCATCGAGTCAATTCTCATAATTCATTCGAGTCAATTCTCATAATGAGAAAAGTAAAAAAAAAAAAAAAAGGTGAAATTAATGTAACAATATATATTATTTGGCCCATGATATCCATTTCAAGGAGCCCTGGTGGTGCAGTGAATAAGCGTTTGGCTGCTAACCAAAAGGTCAGCAATTTGAACCCACCAGCTACCCTGCAAAGAACAATGTGGAAGTCTGCTTCGATAAAAATTTACAGCCTTGGAAACCCTATATGGTAGTTGTAATCTGTCCCATAGTTCTATGAGTTGGAACTGACTGGCAATGAATTTGGAATTTTTATATCCATTTCAGCAGTCCCAGGAGTCCCACTAATGGTTAAGTAATCCACTATTAGCTGAAAGGCTAGCAGATGAAATAGAACCAAAAGAACCCCAAGACAAAGTCCTAGCAATCTGCTTCTAAAAGGTCATAGTCTTGAAATCCCTGGGGAGCAATTCTCTGTACACGAGTTGCCATGAGTAGTGGACACAATTATCAATACCACATGCAATTTCAATATATAAATAGTTAATAATAAGATATATATATATATTTTGTACTAAGTCAAGGAATTGTAGAGTGTATAATACTTGCAGCACTTCTCAATTCAGATTAAATACACTTTAAGTGTTTAATAGCCACATGTGGCTAGCAGTCTCATTTGACCTTTAAGAAAACTTTTAAGAACTTTAAGGGGCTAGTTAAAGAGCTCTAGTGGTGTAGTGGTTAAGGCATTTGGCTGCTAACCAGATAGTCCATGGTTCAAACCACCAGTGGCTCTGCAGAAGAAAAATGAGGCAGTTGGCTTCCATACAGATTTACTACCCTGGAAACCCAATAGGGGTCGCTATGAGTTGGAATCAACTCAATGGCAGTGAATTTGATTTAGTTTTGGAAGGGGGTGGTTGAAGGTGTCAAAAATAACTAGAGGCAGAAGTGAGGATATATATTAGAGCTTCTGACCCAAGTCTAGGGCTCCTTACACTGCACTGCTTCAGTTATGAGGGTGGGGGACAGAGCACTCTGGGTGTAAAATTCTAAATAAGGATGTCCCTATTACAAATTGGGAAGGAAACTAACATTTATTGAGCATCCAAGCTGCCAGGCACTATCAGACACTGTTATGGGAAGTAACATTAATACTCCAATCAGGTTTTTAAGGTAGGTAGCCATGACTTGGAATCAACTCGATGGCAACTGGTTTTTTTCTTTTGAATATTACCCCCGTGTCTTTTTAGGGGAATCTGAATTCCGAATGATAGGGTGACTTGCCCACAGTCACCCAGAAATTAAGTGAAAGACTTGTGCTCTGATTGTAAATGCCTCAACCATCAATATAATAGAAGTTACTGTATGAAACTGATAGAGTGAGCGAAATCCTACCCCAGAAAAGAAAAACGCCTTCAAACTGGAGGATCCGGGCTAAGAGTCTAGAGCCCAAGACTTCGTTTCCCAATCTAGCCTCAGCTGTTCTCCTTTCTAGGAGAAAATCCGCCTTTCCACTGCGTAGCAGAAGAAAAAAAAAAAACAGAAAGAAAGAAAAAAGAAACGCATCTCTGACCGATCATTCCAATTACTTCTGGACTCACCTCTCCGTGGCGAGCGGCTACGACTGCGACCCATTCGGAATCCTCCTTCTACTTACACCGCCCCGGAAACGACTCTGCAATAACTTCCGGAAGGGCCTAGACCTGAGTTTTTGCGGCCGACTGGAAAACACAGAAAAGACACCTGAGGGTTCCGGCTTTTAAAGAAGTGCTGCAAGTATTATACACTCCACAATTCCTTGATTTAGTACAAAAAATATATATATTATATCTTATTATTCACTATTTATATATTGAAATTGGATGTGGTATTGGATGTGTGTTGGGCCGGTCCAGAATTACGGGACTTCGCCTAGGGCCAAGGCTCTGCCCCACGCCGCCACCTCTGAGCCCAAGGATCAGGTTAGGATAGAGTTGGGATCTCCGCACCTCCGGCCCTCTTTCACGGTAACTTCCCAGTCTTCTGTGTATACCGAGAGTATTGTTGTTGTTGTGTGCCCTCAAGTCAGACCGACTCATAGCGACCCCTCCTTGGGTTTCTGAGACAGTATCACTATGGAAGTAGATTGCTCAATCTTCCGAGGAGCGGCTGGTGGGTTTGAACCTCCAGCCTTCTGGTTAGCAGTCAAGTGCTTTAGGCAGTATGCTACCAGAGCTCCCACCGAGCGTACCAAAACATGCTATTTGATGTAATTGTGGAAAAACTCAGCCATATACCGTCCACTCTAACACAGCTCTTTTTTTCCTCATTTTTCTATCTAATCCTAGTCTATACACATACACTATTTCACATCAAACAAATTCTAAACATAGCACACTCAGTTTGTATATTTTGACGTTTTCAGGTTGCATTCTCTCACCTGTTAATGAGCTGTATATTTTCTTTGATGTCAGCATTGGGAAGGCACTAAGAACCCAAGATACTGGAAGGAGAATCAAAGGCCCCTGATTCCATCCTGTCCCTGGGTGGTGCAAATGTTGGTGGTTTGAGTCCACCCAGAGGTACGTCAGAAAAAAGGCCTGCCTATCTACTTATGAAAAATCGCCATTGTAAACTATGGAGTACAATTCTGTTCTGGCACACGTGGATGGGGTCACCAGGAGAATTTATGAGCCTGCAACTGGTTCATTTATTACATCCTCTCCTCACAAAATACCTCTCCCAAGCTGCCTCAGCCTTCAAAATGAAAGACTTTAAAATGTTCATACAAAAAATGAGGGAAAAATCTATCTTGCACCCACAGGCTGAAGCCTATGTGGTGAAACATAAATATACTTACCAGGAAAGACTTGAATCTCTGTAGCTCATTGAACCAATTATTATCTGCCAGCTTTCACAGAGCTGGGAAGAAGATTGTTGTTAGCTGCTGTTGAGACGGCTCTGACTCATGGTGATATTATATACAACAGAATGAAACACTGCCCTGTCCTGCACCATCCGCAGAATCCTTGCTATGCTAGAGCCCATCATTTTAGCCACTGTGTCAATCCATCTCACTGAGGGTCTTCTCCTTTCTTGCTGGCCCTCTACCAAGCATGATATTTCTTTCTCCAGGGATTGGTCCCTTCTGACAACATGACCAAAGTAAGTGGGACAAAGTCTGGCCATTCTCGCTTCTAAGGAGCATTCCAGCTGTACTTTTTCCAAGGGAGATTTGTTTGGTCTTCGGGCAGTCCATGGTATTTTCAGTACTCTTCACCAACACCACAATTCAAATGCATCCATTCGTCTGCCTTCCTTATTCATTGTCCAGCTTTCACATGCATGTTAGCTGATTGAAAATACCGTGGCTGGGGTTAGGCACACCTTAACATTCAAAGTGACATCTTTCCTCTTAAACACTTTAATGAAGTCTTTTGCAACAGATTTGCCCACTGCAACACAACATCTGATTTCTTCACTGCTGCTTCCATGGGCATTAATTGTGGATCCAAATAAAATGAAATTCCTAAGAACTTCAGTCTTCTCTCCATTTATCGTGATGTTGCTTGTTGGTCCAGTTGTGAAGATTTTGTTTTCTTTATGTTGAGGTGTAATCCATACTGAAGGTTGTAGTTTTTGATCTTCATCAGTAAGTACTTCATGTCATCTTCACCTTCAGGAAGCAAGATTGTGTCATCTGCATATTGCAGGTTGTTAATGAGTCTTCCTCCAATCCTGATGCTGTGTTCTTCATATAGTCCAGCTTCTCGGATTATTTGATCAGTATACAGATTGAATAAGTATGGTGAAATGATACACACCTTTCCTGATTTTAAACTATGTAGTATCCCCTTGTCTACATCTCGTCTGTCAGTTTGTCATACTGTGGTGCCTTGTGTGTTGCTGTGAGGCTGGAGGCTATGCCACCAGTATTTAAAATACCAGCACGGCCCCTCATCGTGGACAGGTTTCAGCAGAGCTTCTAGACTAAGACAGACTGGGAAGAAGGATGGGGCCATCCACTTCTCAAAGAATTGGCCACCAAAAACCTTACAAATAGTAGTGAAACACTTTTTGATACATTACTGGAAAACTTTATGAAGAGCCATGAAACATTGTCTGATAAAGTGCCAGAAGATGAGCCTCACAAGTTGGAAGGCACTCAAAATATGAGACTAGGAAAGAGCTGCCTCCTCAAAGTAGTAGTAGTAGTAGTAGTAGTAGTAGTAGTTGTTGTTGTTAGGTGCCGTCAAGTCTGCCCCAACTCATAGTGAGCCTATGTACAACAGATTGAAACACTGCCTGGTCCTGTGCCAGCCTTACGATCCTTGGTATACCTGAGCCCATCACTGCAGCCACTGTATGAATCCATCCTGTTGAGGGTCTTCCTCTTTTTCACTGACCCTCCACTTGACCTTCTCCAGAGAATGGTTCCTTCTGACAACATGACCAAAGTAGGTCAGACAAAGTCTGGCCATTCTCTCTTCCAAGGAGCATTCTGGCTGCACTTCTTGCAGGACAGATTTGTTCATTCTTCTGGCAGTCCTTGGAATTTTTAGTATTCTTCACCAACACCACAACTCAAAAACATCAACACTTCTTCAGTCTCCTTTATTCATTATCCAGTTTTCACATGCGTTTGAGGTGATTGAAAGTACCATGGCTTGGGTGGTGGTGGTTGTTGTTGTTATGTGCCATTGAGTCGGACTCGACTCATAGCGACCCCTCCTTGGGTTTCCGAGGCAGTGTCACTACAAAAGTAGATTGTGCAACCTTCCTTCCAAGGAGTGGCTAGTGGGTTTAAACTGCCAGCCTTCCGATTAGGTGCCCCTTAATCTTCAAAGAGATATCTTTGCTCTTCAGCAAAGAGGTCTTCGCAGCAGATTTGCCCAGTGCAATACGATGTCTGATATCTTGACTGCTGCTTCCACTGGTGTTGATTGTGGACCCAAGTAATACGAAATCTTTCACAATTTTAATCTTTTCTCCATTTATCTTGTTGCTTATTGGTCCAGTTGTGAGGATTTTTGTTTTCTTTATGTTGAAATATAACCCATACTGTAGATTGTAGCCTTTAATCTTCATCAGTAAGTGCTTCAGATCATCTTCACTTTCAGCAAGTGAAAAGATACAACCCTGACACACACCTTTCCTGATTTCAAACCACGTAGTATACCCTTGTTCTGTTCAAATGACAGCTTCCTCGTTGATCTACAGGTTCCTCATGAGCACAATGATTTCTTCTGGAATTCCCATTCTTCTCATTGTTATCCATAATTTGTTATGATACACACAGTCTAATGCTTTTGTTTAGTCAATAAAACACAAGTCATCTTTCTGGTATTCTTTGCTTTCAGCCAAGATCCATCAAAGTAGAGTCAACCTTAATGACGTAGATGGAGTAAAACTTTTGGGACCTTCATTTGCTGATGGAATATGACTCAAAATGGGAAGAAACAGCTGCAAACATTTATTAATAATCAGAACATGGAATGTATAAAATATGAATCTTTGGATATTGGAAGTTGTCACAAATGAAATGGAATGCATAAAGATTGATATCCTAGGCATTAATGGGCTAAAATGGACTGGTATTGGCCATTTTGAATCACACACTCATATGGTCTGTTATGTTGGAAATGACAAACTGAAGAGGACTGGCTTCACATTCATCATCAAAAAGAACGTTTCAAGCTCTTTCCTGAAGTACAGTGCTTTCAGTGATAGGATAATATCCATATGCCATCAAGGAAAACCAGTTAATATGACTGTTACTCAAATTTATGTACCAACCACCAAAATAAAAGATGAAGAAACGGAAGATTTTTTACTAAATTCTGCATTCTGAAATTGATCAAACATGTAATCAAGATGTATTGATTATTGCTGGTGATTAGAATGTGAAAGTTAAAGACAAGCAACATCAGTAGTTGGAAAATATGGCTGTGATAGTTGGAGCTATGTGTCAACTTGGCTGGACCACAATTCTTTGTGGTTTGAGCTGTTGTGGTGTGGTTGTTCCCATGATGGGATCAGATGACTATGTTCTGAGTGGCCAATCTGTTAAAAGTGAGTTTCCCTAGGGTTGTGGCCAGCTTCCAGTATATCCAAGGACATCCTGGGAAGAGAGACATTCTTCTGTGGATCAGGATTCTGTTGTGCTGCCCACAGCTGTCTGTGAGTGAACAGTCCACCATTCGGCCTGGAGATCTTGGATTCGTTGTTCGTTGGAGTCAACAGCTGGTGTACTGCATGCCAGCCTTGAGCTCCTCAGCCCCTGCAGTTGCAAGAACCAGGAAAAGGCTCCAGCTTGACATTTGATCCACGAACTTTGGACTTGCCAGCTTCTATAAGTGTGTGAGCCATTTTCCTAAGATAAATTTTTCTCTATATATACATATATATAAGCTTTACTGGTTTTTGTTTCTCTAGAGAACCCAGTGTAACACATTTGGTACCGAGAGTGGTTCTAGAGAGACAAAATCATAAGGATGGGCTTCCTAAATTGGTTCTCCAGTTTGATTAATCTTAAAGACACTAGTGACTCTGCGTCTGTTAGTAAAGAGGACCCTGCTAATCCGTGGCATGAGGTGGCAAAATTAATACGTGAAATAACACCTCCAATCGATCAAGTACTTGTGAGAAGTGACACT